ATATTAATTAGTTGTGACTAGTCAATGAAATTTTTCTTGTGATTGCACAATCACCAATTCCAAATGTTTTTCCATTATAATGAATAATTCAATGCACATTTTTAATTAATGTACTTAAGTTACCTTACATTAAAATAATAAATAAACTTAATTAAAATAATTGTATCAATTTTTAAATTATTATTTCTCCATGAAAAAAAAAAAAATCAATAATGCAAAATGATGAAGCATACCGTGTGTTACTCCAATCAAGATAATAAATCTAGATAATATTAGAATAGATAATTATTTTTAAATAATGGCAATGATAGGTGCATCTATGTAACATTGTAAATAATTATATACAATCGTTAGATCGAATTAATCAGAAAAATTTTTAAAACAAAACTTGTGGATTATATCTATTTAATGTAACTCAAACCCAACGCAATTATAAAAAATCTTTTGTTCACAATGTAAATAAGTTTTTTTTTTTTTTTTGCGTTGATACTGATATAAAAACGTGACTTGCAAATTAATAGCGAACTTAAAGTCATCCATCAAAACATCTCATAATATTAAAAATGGATAAGCGAATTAAGAAATTTATATAATTGTTAATTTCGGAATATAAATTATATTTTTACTTTAAAAATATTAATAAACATTGTGTGTGTGTGTGTGTGAGAGAAGGAAGAGAGAGAGAGAGAGAGAGAGAGAGAGAGGGGGGGGGATGTATGGATAGATATGTATAAATAATGTAGTATATATATATATATGTGTGTGCATATATGCGTGTGTGCGCGTGCGTACAAATAGATAGATAGAGAGAGAGAGAGAGAGAGAGAGAGAGAGAGAGAGCGAGCAACATTTTTACATAAATATTTTGTTTTATGCAATTGACAAGCTATCGATAAATAAATGTATACATTACATTTATTGATTTGTTGCATAATGAATTTACATTGGAATAATACATTTTAATCATTTAAAATTATTCAAAGCCTAGACTAAGGTAGTTAAATATAAAATTAATAATCATATTTAGCTTAAGACTAAGGCTCCAAGCTATACATATTTTTTAATTAAATTTGATCTATACTGTAATAAGAGACGTAAAAATATAAGAATTTCAAACCACATTATACTGAATTAAGTTTTACTTTAGCAATAAACCCACAGCAGAGAACTCGAAATGAAGATAAAAAGCAAAAAGTATTACAAATCTAGTCCAGTGCAGGTTAGGATACAACATCGGATCTATGCAGTCTAGTTAGAAAAAAAAAAAAAAAAAAAAAAAAAAAAAAAAAAAACATAAATATATGTTAAATCAGAAAGCCATTGAAATAAACTTGGAGAAACCAAAAAATGTCGATAGTTGTTGTAAAATGTCAGTACATACAACATCATAATTTCAATGTAAATAGTTTTTATATGATTGCAAATGAGGTTAAGAATGCACATAATAACCTTGAATTTATATTCCACTATTATGTAGTAATATTTTTCACTCTAGGTGATAAAAATGCAGTTTATATTTAAATTACTCCTCTTTAAAAGTTTTAAATTAAGATGAAAGTCATTCGTGGAATTTAAATTTCTTATTGCCGACGGTATACCCTAGCATTTTTCTATTATTTAAACGTAATATCAACAATTTTATAAATAAGAAAAATAGCTTACACGTATGCTGAATAATCTAGCAAAATAACAGTACCCAGTAATAATATACGATATGACAGTTAGGTGCTCCGATTTTCATTCAACCATCGTTTTATTTATTTTTTCAACATTACGTTAGATTACCTTGCATTCGTATTAATTGCATCTGTATTATCTTGCAATTATAAAATTACATTTATGTTGGATTCTCATATGAATCTATGAATTACTCAAACTTGGTGCTTTAAGTTAATAATTTACCAACCTTTTAAGATTAATTCCTGTTACCAAACGAATATATAAGTACATCTCTCCAAGACTATGAAAATTTCATCTCGAAGTTGTGCCTGCTATTATTAAATATTTAAATCTTCTAATAAACATACTAACATCAGTTAACACTATATCTAGCTACGTGTTTGACAAAAAAAAAAAAAAAAAAAAAAAAAAAAAAAAAAAACAACAACAACAACAACAACAAATTTACACGTGAAAAAAAAAATAATACAAATTATAATAAATGTTATTATAATAAAGTAGCTACAATTTATGTATTCTTCAAATATGAGATTTATTGTAAATTGATTGAATTCCACTCAAAATGATTGTGAACGTAAAACTGCTGACCTATATCACATATGATAGAATAGTGTAGACTCACGATAAAGCTGAAATAAAAATTTCACTTTAACTCTTGTGCACTTTTATAGAGAAATTATTTTTAAATAAGATTTGAGCTCGTAGAAGCGCTAAACATTTAATGACGAAACAAGCATTTATATATAAATATTTAAAAATCTTGTAGAGATTTCGCGTGATTACTGTTAGCGCATAAATAATATCATATATATGCCTTTGATCTCTTTTCTTTTCTCTTTCTATTGTTAAGAATATTAAAAAGTTTTTACTATCCATGTTTGTTTGTTTTTCTTTATTCTTTATTCTTTTTTCTTTTTTCTTTTTTCTTTATTCTTTTTCTTTTTCTTTACAATATTGGCTAACAATTAAAAACTTATATTTATTAAAAATCAAAGGCATTCGTATCTTTAGACTCTTACCGTTTGGAAAGATGAAGGAAAATTTTACGCATATTTTTCAAGTGAGTATACATTTTATAAATTATATAAATTTAATTTCTTCTTAATCTAATCATTCGATATTATATAAAAATTAATTATAGAAATTATAATATAAATTATATCGTATAAATTCGTATGTAGTAACAATTTTAATTAACATTGACGAGCGATTAGACATAAAACGTGCAAGTACTGTAATAAAAGCCAATAATAAGGATAAAATCCAGTAATCAAAGATAAATTTGATTGTGGTATTGTCATAAAACAATAGTTTATTTCTTTCATTTCGTTTCTTTTTCTTTTCTCTCTCTCTCTCTCTCTCTCTCTCTCTCTCTCTCTCTTTTTCTTTCTAAGGATATAGTCACAGAGCAGATTTAGATGATTTTCAATGGATAGACCCTTACAAGATTGAATAAACACTTGCCTACATTACAGGATATATATATATGTGTGTGTGTGTGTGTGTGTGTGTGTGTACACACACGCCCACGCGCCTACGTATGGAATACATACGAAATTAAATGATTTCGAATCGATTGTTTATTATTTATAATTGCTTCGCCAATTAATTTATACATTTGCAGTGGCTGCGAGCTTATCGAAAGATCCAGATATGAATGCATTGGGGAGGTGTCGCTAAAATAAAAAATATGTTATAAACATTTATAAACGTGTTTGCTTGAAAAGCATACAAAGCTCACTGCTGCATCGAAAATACATTAGCATTTCAACAATGCAACGCGAAATTATAAATTACAAATTATAGTCAAGAAAATAGATAAAGTAATTATTGTTAAAATTAGGTCAACCAATATATAAGATAACTAGCTCGGCAACTTGCTGTATTAAGCAAACGCATACTACAAGCGTCTCTCTCGAATTATTGACGTTACATTGAAATTATTACATGCTGTAATAGTGTGTAACATTGATTTTTAACTCTAGGACGGAGCGAGGAGATTATTATTAAAGCGTAAACGAGTCAAATGGGCTACGAGAATTGAGCCGCTTGCGCGTACTCTCCTACCAATCCACTCGTCGGGAATTTCAATCAACTCGACGCACTTTAAATAATTAATAAGTTTCTCATTAAAAGGCCGCTTAACGCTCGCTGCCTATGCGGCCACATCGTAAATGAGGGAGCAGCCATGCAGGTTAAGATGGAGACAAAATGCACGCAACGAGAGTGCACACATTGCGAGCACGTGCATAAGGATATTTATCGGAAGAATACGTAATCGATAATTGCGGTACGTATGCTGCGAGATAAGGGAAGTAACGGCAAGAATGCAAGGAAGCAAGAAAGAGAGATGGACAAATAGTAAGAGTAGCCAAGACGAGGATACGCAGTGGTCAGGAGAGCGACAAAGACGATAATAATTGTCACATCGGATCTCTTATATTGATTTGTGTGCCTACATTTGTTTATTAAAGATATCGACCTGCGATATGCTTAATTACACGCTCGCGTGCACGCACACACGCAACAGCACGACGTGAGATTAAATTGTAATTCGTTATAAGAATTTACGGAATATTATCAGGCGCGCATGCACGGGCGTTTCAACCCAACGCGATTGTTTTTACGCGCAACCGCCTATTCGCTTTAAGCTAACGCTACCACTCCCAATTACACACCCGGCTCCTACCAATAATAAATCCAACCTCACCTCATCTACGTCCCACTTACGCTATTACTCGCACTTAAAAGCCCATCCTCACTTACAATTATTATCAACATAGCATCGACCTAATGTCAAATTTCAGCCGACAATGATATTTATTTCTCGCGACTCGGTCGTCTCGATACTCGGTGCGTCCGAACCGCCAGACCGCATCCTACACGGGACGATATGTACTCCAAAGGGGATTAGATAGGTGAAGTAGAGGAGCAGGAGGTAACGCGGTGGTGTGGTGGTTGTTGGAGGCGAGATTGGTGTGTTTGGAGGTGTTGGTGGGACGAGGGATTAAGCGATCGGATTGTGTACCACTGCCGTGGCGGTGACCCGGGCTCGACTCGAACCCTGCGGTTCGCTTTTTGCAAGGTTTCGCCGGGAAGGGGTGGTGGGATGAGGGATGAGGGATGAGGGATGAGGAATGAGGGATGAGGGATAAGGGTGGGGGAGGGGGATAGAGGAGGAGGAGGAGAAAAGAGTCGGCCAGCTGTCACGCGAGGAAGCGAGCCGAGACGTTGCCAATTGCGTTGCCATTGCGCGCGAGCGATAGAAAGATTTGGGCGGGGCGGGAAAGGATGATCGGGCCCCTCGCGCACGGACTCACCGAACGTCAGTATGTGGGTGACGGTCATCGCTGGCTCCCTCCTGGCCGACGTCGAGGACGACGACGGTGGCTGCATCGCTCCTGGTTAAACGGCCGTCTTCAAGGTTATGTGCTGTTGTCTCTGCGCGCTCGGGGCCCCGGCCAGCCGCGAACATAACCTCCAGCTGTCAGTGCGCGAGCGGATGGCGAGGTGGAGATCGAGGGGGCCGTCGCCTCCTCGGGCGCATCGACGCCGAGGTGCATTGCGACGGGCACTGCCCCCCGTCGCTCGTTGAGCCACACCAGGCCTCGGATGTGCGTGGTGCGCGCGTGTGGGTGTGCGCACCGCGGCCTGCGCGAGAGTTTGCATCCGGGCGAACGTATGAGCGAGATAGACTTTGATATTTAGAGTTAGAGTTGGAGAGAGAGAGAGAGAGGGAGAGAGAGAGTGAGAGAGAGAGAGTGAGAGAGAGAGAGAGAGAGAGAGAGAGTGAGTGTGGTTTCGAGTGAGAGTGAGAGGGCGAGCGAGAGAGCGAGCGAGAGTGAGAGGGCGAGCGAGAGACCGAATGAGAGTGAGAGCGCGAGTGAATGCGCGGGGCGGGAGAGAGGGAGCGGGTGCGGATGACTTTTCCTTAAAGTTGCAACGCTCGCGCGCACATCCACGACGATTATTAGCATTTCTGGATTTCGTTGATGCAGCTGCGCTGTTTTCCTCGATGGGGCTTGTTACGCGCAATTTTTAGCAAACGGCTCCCTTCGTTATTTTACCTCACAATCACATTGGCGAGAGTCCTATTGGTTAAACGACAGCTTTCATCTATCAATTGCTTTCAGCTCTTTCGCAGTCGTTTATTTATCGCGCGCACTTTTGCGCAAAATATCATTATCATGAGGCAAATCTCCGTGCGAGCTTCGGTATTTGCGCCTTAGTGCTTAATTTCGTGAAAATTTCAATAACTCTAGGGGGTCCACTTAATCGAATGGGGCGCTGTAATAGAATTGTTTTTCTTTTCCCCTAGAATAATTGGTGGCTCAAAGTACTTTGAGTGCTTTTAAAAGCCAAGTGTTACTATAAGGCCGACGAATGCTTTATTTTGAAATAACTAAAATTAGTAAATGATCTAAATGATATTTACGATTGCTATTTATTACAATTTTTAACAAATAAATAACCTAAGGCACCATTGACTCGATGAATGTGAAATAAACTCGAGAGTGGAAAATTATTGTTCTAGCGCTGTTAATCGGATAATAATAATAAATATACGAGGCACGTCCTTCTTATTCTCTCCTCTATTATTATAAGAAGTTCGATCGACAAACAAAATGCATTAGGACTTTGTCGACGTTACAGAGCACATAATTAATTGTACATTTGCTTTAGTTGGCCAAATCAATGAAGATGCATTCTTACACACTCGATGTCATAATGTATACAAACATGTTGAAAAATTCGTCGATAAAATTTTTTCAGCTTTTATTCGATTGATAGCCAAGGCATATCCATCACGTATTTTTGATTTTTACGCTACATCCGCTACACCTAGCAGCGACATGATAATGATAATTAAATTTTTAAGTACTATCCTATAATAACAATAATTATCGAGTTTAAAATTAAAGAAGAACGTCGTGTTAACATATTTTTATTTTCTTCTTTTTTTCCTTTTTTTCTGTCCCTGCCGCCGCCCCCCCCCCCCCCCCCCCCCCCCCCCCCCCCCCCCCCCCCCCCCCCCCCCCCCCCCCCAAAAAACAAAACGGCCGGCCCCGCCCCATCGCCAGTAAAGCATAGAAGCGTCGATTAACACGTGCACAAAGCAAATATAATTTATTTATCGAATGCCTTATAAATTATTCGTAATTTTATTTCGTACGAAAAATGCGAGTGTTTTTCGATTAAGGCTATTTCCTTGAATATTGGAATATCGTTTAAAATCCGAAAATGTTTTTAAATAATTCGATATCTCATCTAAGTAGCCTTACTATCGATAAGTAAATAAGTAAGACTCTTGTCCGTTAAAAATAAAAAAAAATATAATAAATAAACGACACTTTACCAATAACGTTCATCTACTTCTCTATAAGTGAAATGTGCGTTATTAATAGGAACGTTAACGTAAGTGATTTATCTGGTTTTGTTCGGAGATGCCTGGTGCTTTGGTTGATTTTTTCTCTTACTTTTCGTGGCAGAAAGTAGAATGAAACTATAGCTACGTAAACGACAAAGGCATTCTTATTAATAATAATTTATAGCAATTTTTTACCTTTTATAGTTTGTGCATACTTACGGTAATGTGTAGATAGGCAAATCATCGATAACGTGTAATGCAAAATCCAATAACTTTGCGATTAAGAAATTCACGATATACGATCATATAACAATTCTACATAATTCCCTTGTCATCATTGACATTATTATAAATAATTTATTTTGCCCACGTAACGATAACATAATATAACAGCAATATAGTGTTGCGCATTAATTGTACTTATTTCTAGATCCACGACTTAAGTATTGTACTTTATTTTTAAATAATTTTATACGATTATTAGGATATATTAAAAATTTTCAGTTACTGACTAGTAAAAAGTTTTAAAAGAACAGGCACGAGGAATTTTAATTTTAATAAGAATATGATAGAGATAATATACCGCGTATATTATACTATTTTATTCGAGTAAAATACATTTATCGTTGTTTTGTTTTGTTTTTTATTTATTTATTTATTTATTTATTTGTGTCTTTTTTTTTTTTTTTTTTTTTTTTTAATCAAATTGCTCGATGTAAAAGGAAATTTTCTCTTTAAAACTTGATGCGTCCAGACACTTTTCGTTCGGCAATTTGCTGCAGAATTGATCTCACTCCTTTCGTTAGAATCACCGATCGATTGTCAAGATAAGGCATTAGATGTTCCGAGTGTAAAATTTCAAAAGACGGCCGATATTGAAATCAATAATTCCTTGATTTAACTGAAAATCTTGTCAAGTCTACTGTTAAGGCCCAGGCTGGATGTTGGTTAATGCTCGGCTAATATCAATTTCCTATCTCCCTCGTAGAATTATAAACTTCAATATACTCAGAATAACAATGCCATGAAAATTATTCTTACGAACGCTTCTTTAAGCGAATCGACGGTGACATATTAAATGTGATATTATATTTTACGAAATTATTTCTCGGCTACTCTGATAAATTATTCAAGAATACAAGTTGCTTATAATAATGTTCGATATATATATATATATATATATATATATATATATATATATATATATATTTTTACATTTACAAGAGATGTGTAATCATTTTTTAAATACTGCGCAGGAGGTATGTAGGTGAACAAACGCAAACAAAAAGTCTTGAATTCTCTTGACCGCGGAAAATTCATGATTGCTTGAATATTTCTTATATTATCTCAATATAATATAATAAAACCTCGTGCGACTATAATAAAGTTAAGCTTAAATGATTTTCCCTTTGTAGCTTTATAAAGGGAATGTTTAAAAACAAGTGGGTATTTTGCATATATTATTTGCAATTACTTTGGACTAGAATACTTATAAACCGTGAAGAATATCTGTAATGCTATAATTGAATTCCAGAAATACCAATATCTTCGATTATTTACATTTTTGATAATCTTATCATTTCGACGTGTCACGTTGGTGTGTACGTATTAATTGAATTAATATGTGAACTCATCGAGGCTTGCAATATATTGATTTCAAATGAAGTCACATGTTGGCTTTTTTTATTTTGTAATTAATTTTTTCCTTTATAATTTGTTTTGCAACGTTACATACATACATAGAAGACGTAACACAGGCTTAACATTGTTTTATTTTGATTTGTGTTTTTTTGTTTGTTGTCGTTTTTTTTCTTCTTTTATTATTAAGATATATTTATGGAAATTCCTTTTCATGTTTCAATTTTGTTGGCTCTGTAGCCTTTTTTTTTTTTTTTATTGCATAATTGGTAGGAAAGGTATAGAAATTTTCAATATGTTAATTAATTCTGGATAGCGGTAAAAACTTTTATAGTTAATTTCCTAAAAATCAGATAAAAACACGTTGTAATCCAAAATGAGTCGAAATACTATTTCACAGGACTCCTTCGCGACTCTCATCTCAAAGGCTCAATAATAATAACAACTGAAATTTCTGCTTAGTATATTAGGTTCAAGATTTTTCTGTACATTTCTAGGCGAAGCTTAACGATAATTTTTTATTAATTAATGTTGAAAAACAAAAATGTCGCTCTACTATTATTATTATTTTCATTATTATTATTATTATTATTGGTTTTTGTTTTATTCGATATCAGTGGTTGGCATTACCGTTGCTGCTCAAAGGAAAAAATCATTATTCAATGGCAAAAAATGTGAAAAATGTAGAACAAACGTTTATCAAATGTAATAATGAATTTACTTATTGGAAACTTAATAAATTAAGATATTTTTTCAAATTTGACAGTAAAGTTGGAAGAGTGACGATCGTATTTATTATGATCTTAGACATTAAATGATACTTGCATTTTTTAAAAAACATTTATTTATCCAATCGAAACGAAGGGAAGGTGGAAAAGATATTTTCATTACTATTCCGATTTCGATTCATTTCAATAAATTTCTTTTAGCCATTCCCGGTGAATGGTCCGCAAGGGCTCGTATTAGCCTTTAGGCTTCATAATTATTCTGTCGTCGCCTCGAATTTTGCTATATTTTTAAGATAATCGAGACGTTTCACGGCCACATGGCCAAATAGTATCTAAAACATAAACATATCATTCGACATTGTCTTGTTCATAAAAAAGCAACCTTTTTCGAAATTCGAACGGATACTCGTGTCATTTCAAACATCCACGCAGACACTTCACTCGTCCCAGAGAACTCGAATATCTTTCTCTCGAGCCACAACTGTTTTGCTTTGCTCTTTCTTCCTATCCTCCGTTCGCTCCTTCGGTCTTATTTCATCAATTCATACCACATTTGGACTAGGCCGTTGCTACGCATAATAAAAAGTAAACAACAAAGTCGATATATCTTACAGAAGATAAGTGACGTAACTAATTGACAGGCTAATAACGGCTCATTTCTTTGTCGTGAAAAAAAAAGTGTGCGCGGTGGGCGGGTGGGGAGGATGGGGAAAGGGAGACCTGACAGATGTTTGGCAGAAGTGTAATTGAGGTCTGGCTGACATGAGACTGCCGGCAGCAGACCATTGGGCGTCTTAACGATTCCCGGACGAAGAAGCCGAAACTCGGATGAGCAAAACTTTTGAGCAAAGTCTTTACATATGTACGATTAAGAGACTATAAAATTATAATATTATTGGCACCGGCTCGCTCACGATACTCCTTAT